GTTTTATTTGCTTATTTTCCACAACAGTATAATTCACGAGCCTAGGGAATCAATGTAGCCACAAGTAGGTAATTATTGTAACTACTTACATGTAATTACTGTACCTGGTGGGCGCCATAACTGGGCTTTGTTATTATAGTAGTGTATTGGGTTTTCTTTTAAATTGCTGAGGTCGCAGCTAAGTTCTGAATGCTGCTCATTCTTTATAATTTTGTATCTGTTTGTTGTCCTTTTCGTGAATTAAATATATTTGAAATCTTCAGAAATGACTCCCCTAATGGGGCCTTGACGTCCGTTTTGGGGTTCTTCATCCAATGAATTGGGCCTTTCCTTGGATCAAACCTGAATCCTCTTATTTCCCAAGATACTGTATGATCCCTATGGGTTTAGCACTCCCCATGAATGCAATAATAACAATTCAGAAATGGATATTTGAATGGTAAGCGTATTCGTGGCTTGTAGCTCGGGTGGTTCACATACTGAAGGACCAGGGTTTGATCCCCAGACTAGTGGAAATGTGCCCCACATTTCCACTCCTTGCATCAGGTGCCCTCATTCACCTAACAGCAAGTAAATACCTGGGTGTTAACCAGCTAGTGTGGATCGCATCCTGGGGGAGAGGACTAAAGGACTCAAATAAATAAAATATTTATTTCTTTGCTAAGGTTAAAATGTGTGTTTACATATCATAATATGATTGGAGCAAAGAAAGCCACTATCATACCGAGGCATTTCGGGCAGTGGAAATTAAACCAGTCAGATGACATGACTTTATTTGATTATCCTGGTTTACTACCCCCAGGTTTATAATCTGAATAAAAATCATCCTTATCATCCCTTCAACAAAGCTTTAAAGGTTCATAGCAAGGGTTTTAGTTATTTATTTAGGTAAACCAAGGTACTCCAGGTAATTATTAAATTACATGCAAGTAAGTTGTATTCAGTGCTAGAAATTATATGCTCTTTAACCATTTAGGTAGTATATGAAGATAAAATTGTAATGAATACTTGTCACTGCTGAAGGGTATACCACATGTAAACAAGAAACTGGAGTCCTCATCAGTTCAGTAGTTGGGAGTCGAAATGTGTTTCTTTTCAACTGCTGTTTTCTTGTAAAGTAAAAGGACACAAGTGCAACTAATGTGACATTTATTGTGGCAACGTTTCGCTCTCCAGGAGCTTTATAAAAATAGGTTGGACAAATATAAACTGGAATGAGGCAGGTTGTTTCAGTGTTCACTCTCTGTGCTTTGTGTAGTATAACAGGGGAGACTATGTGATGGCAGGGTTTATTGTTTTCAGGAGGATTCTTGCTAAGACTTCGGAGATGGTGAAGCTGCCGTTGTTTTGTTTAATTGTATTCGAAACAGCGATCAGTGCTGATTCAAGGCACTTGCGTGTGCCTACTACTACTACTACTACAACTAGTGAACATCGAAATGGTACCTCACTAGTATTCACCTCACTCTGAGCCTTTATATACCCTCTGTGTCCATGTATTGTTTGTAATGGCTTGATAAAGCTCCTGGAGAGCGAAACGTTGCCACAATAAATGTCACATTAGTTGCACTTGTGTCCTTTTACTTTACATATTGTCGGTAATTCTACCAACTTTATTACCATGCTGTTTTCTTGTTTGTCTACATGTGGGTCACCCTTCAGAATAGATAATTGCCACCCAATAAGCCTGACCTCAATTGTAGGCAAATTACTAGAGTCAATTATAGCTGAGATTATAAGAAGCCATCTCGATAAGCATAGCTTGATTAATGATACTCAGCATGGATTCACAAGAGGCCGGTCTTGTCTAACTAATTTATTAACTTTCTTTAGTAAAACTTTTGAGGCTGTTGACCACGATAAAGAATTTGATATTATTTACTTAGATTTTAGTAAGGCTTTTGATAGAGTTCCACACCAAAGACTGTTAAAGAAAGTGGCAGCTCATGGCATTGGGGGAAAAGTGCTCTCGTGGATCGAGTCATGGCTCACAGACAGGAAGCAGAGAGTGTCCATAAATGGCGTTAAATCCGAGTGGGGATCTGTAACAAGTGGCGTTCCACAGGGATCAGTCTTGGGCCCGTTGTTGTTCATAATACAGTGGACCCTCGGTTAACGATATTTTTTCACTCCAGAAGTATGTTCAGGTGCCAGTACTGACCGAATTTGTTCCCATAAGAAATATTGTGAAGTAGATTAGTCCATTTCAGACCCCCAAACATACACGTACAAACACACTTACATAAATACACTTACATAATTGGTCGCATTCGGAGGTAATCGTTATGCGGGGGTCCACTGTATATATCAATGATCTTGATGAGGGAATTACTAGTGATATGAGCAAATTCGCCGATGACACAAAGATAGGTAGGATAATTGATTCAAACGTAGATGTTATGGAACTTCAGGAGGATTTAAACAAACTGTATTCTTGGTCAGAAAAGTGGCAGATGCAGTTCAATGTAGATAAATGCAAGGTTCTGAAGCTCGGGAGTGCCCATAACACTAGTACTTATAAATTAAATGATGTAGAACTTACCCATACAGATTGCAAAAAGGACTTGGGGGTTATGGTGAGCAGCAACCTTAAACCAAGACAGCAGTGCCTAAGCGTACGTAATAAGGCAAATAGATTATTGGGATTTATATCAAGAAGTGTAAGCAACAGAAGTCCAGAGGTCATACTGCAGCTTTATACATCATTAGTAAGGCCTCACCTAGATTATGCAGCTCAATTCTGGTCTCCATATTACAGAATGGACATAAATTCGTTAGAAAACATTCAGCGTAGGATGACTAAATTAATACATAGCATTAGAAATCTTCCTTATGAAGAAAGATTGAAGACTCTTAAGTTACATTCACTTGTTAGACGAAGAATGAGGGGAGACCTGATCGAAGTGTGTAAGTGGAAGATAGGTATTAATAAAGGGGATATTAATAAGGTCTTGAGGATATCTCTCCAAGAGAGAACCCGCAGTAATGGATTTAAATTAGATAAGTTTAGATTTAGAAAGGACATAGGAAAGTATTGGTTTGGAAATAGGGTAGTTGATGAGTGGAACAGTCTACCTAGTTGGGTTATTGAGGCTAGGACTTTGGGTAGTTTCAAATTTAGGTTGGATAAGTACATGAGTGGGAGGGGTTGGATTTGAGTTGGACTTTCACATCAGAGCTTATTTCTTGGGTAGCATTGCAAATTGGGTTGGGCAAATGTTTTGTTAGTGGGATGAATTGTAAAGGACCTGCCTAGTATGGGCCAACAGGCCTGCTGCAGTGTTCCTCCTTTCTTATGTTCTTATTTATTATAGATACAGGATACATATAATGACATTTTATGATGACTTAACCAAGAGTTTCTCTAAAGAATTAATGTCATTAGTTATGTGTAGTGGCAGGACTCTCTGGACATAACCAGTGGCAGGACTCTCTGGACATAACCAGTGGCAGGACTCTCTGGACATAACCAGTGGCAGGACTCTCTGGACATAACCAGTGGCAGGACTCTCTGGACATAACCAGTGGCAGGACTCTCTGGACATAAAAACTTTGTAAACAAACAAGAAAGATATGTTGGCCAAGCAAAGTTATCACCTTTCTTAGAACCATGAATTAGTGGTTTACAGTACTGTATATCATTCTTATTATATAGGATGTTGAAGCAATTGATGGAAATTTTTATTAAATTTCATAATCAGATAAGATACAATATACAAAATTGAAATGCTGCAGTGACTGTATCTTAGAATATCCCTATAATTGTAAAAAAAAAACAGCTTGCAATATACTAGTAATTTATTAAAAAATGCTTATGAAAATCAAAAAGCAAAGGTGCAATTATAATAATGTCAGGGTTAAATTTTTGGTCATTACATTCTTTCAGATGTATAAACCATAAATGGTATTCATTTTATCTTGTAAAATGAGAAATGTTAGGATTACAGTGATTTAGTTGGTCAAAGATCACAGTTGTTTAGAAGGTTTCCAGTCAGTAACTAAATTCTGTTTGTTAAATGACTTCACATACTGTATCAAGCTGTGTGTAAGGGGGTGATATCTACCAATATTGCTGCCACCACAGTTACATTTTACCCAGTGTCAACATAAATATTACTGTAACTCTTATATCTACAAAGGGCAGTGCCATGATGTTGGATGTGGTCTCTTTGCTTCAAAGAATTAGAGCTATTTTTCCCATCCTTGACTCAAACCTTAATTAATACCTCCCATTCCTTAAGTGCTGTATGACCCTTGTCAGTCTAGTACTTCTTAAGTTAACAGTAGGTCATCCCTTTTGAGCATAATATATTCTTCTTACAGGGCTTTTGTTAGTGTGTTAGTGTGTGTGTTAGTGTGTGTGTTAGTGTGTGTGTTAGTGTGTGTGTTAGTGTGTGTGTTAGTGTGTGTGTTAGTGTGTGTGTTAGTGTGTGTGTTAGTGTGTGTGTTAGTGTGTGTGTTAGTGTGTGTGTGTGTTGTGTGTGTTTAGTGTGTGTGTTAGTGTGTGTTGTGTTTAGTGTGTGTGTTAGTGTGTGTGTTAGTGTGTGTGTGTGTGTGTGTGTGTTTAGTGTGTGTGTTAGTGTGTGTGTTAGTGTGTGTGTTAGTGTGTGTGTTAGTGTGTGTGTTAGTGTGTGTGTTAGTGTGTGTGTTAGTGTGTGTGTTAGTGTGTGTGTTAGTGTGTGTGTTAGTGTGTGTGTTTGTGTTGTGTGTGTTTGTGTGTGTGTTTGTGTGTGTGTGTGTGTGTGTGCTAGTATGTGCTTGTGTTAGTGTTAGCAACATTTTACAGAATATTAAAATCATCTTGCTAAATAGTTGAGACAGTCTGCATAAATAAGAAATTATAATTTTTAATTAGTCCCTTAGTCTAATAAGGAATAATGTTTTGCATTATTTGTTTGAGTGTTAAATGCAGTACCATATTTAGTTTAATGTAATTGCAGTGCCTGTACTGGGTAGAAACATTATTGTACTGCTAGAATCAATATCACATTCCTTTTCAGAACCATGTCTCAGTCAAAAATTGTAGTGGAGGCTGCAGAAAGGAACAAAGAGCCAATCTTGAAAGTGTTAGAAGATGTCATCCCAGAGAAGTTTGGTGCAGGATCTCCGTCGTTATCTGCACTAGAAATTTCCTCTGGAAGTGGCCAGCATGTGGTATATTTTGCAGAAAAATTCAAAAACATAATGTGGCAACCATCTGATATTGATGAAAAGTATATTGAAAGCATCAAGGGATTTATTGCTGATGAAAATTTGGAAAATGTAAAAAGTCCTTTAGTAATTGACATAACAAAGGTAAGTATCATTGATATTAATTGTTGCATAAAATAAATTAATGAAATAGCTTAGTCAGAATTACATATGAAGAATCATGCAATAAAGGAACCAGTATAATGATGAAGTGAGGTGAAAGTATGAATGACACTGCAGAACCCATTACTGACAGTATGTGTAGAGTCCACCTCCATGGCTATTTTTGTGATGTAATGACTTGGGTGAAAATGGAAAAGGATTTTCCTGTAAATCGTTCATCATATCAGGGCATCCCCAGAAATTTTTAAAGCAGTTTATTTAAGTTTATGTAGTTGAAGCCTCATCATTACTATGGCAACATTTAGAAATTATCATGCGTGAATCAACATGTACATAAATCAAACTTCACATCAGTAATTTTTTTTTTTTCATCATGCTGGCTGTCTCCCACCAAGGCAGGGTGACCTAAAAAAGAAAGAAACACTTTCACCATCATTCATATATCACTATTTTTGAAGAGAGACACAGATACGACAGTTCAGATGTCGCTCCAATAATTATATACGTGTAGTACTTTATTAACATTAGTTTCACCAAAATACTACTATTATTTATCCCTTGCATTTTTTCCAGCCTATCAGCGAATGGCCTGTAGCTTTTACTGAAAATTGCCTCGACTTAATTATTAATATTAACATGGTCCATATTACACCTTGGTCATGTACTGAAGGCTTGTTTGTTACTGCGGGAAAGCTCCTCAAGCCCAATGGCATCATGATTACTTATGGACCTTATGCTATACATGGAGAGATTACACCTGAGAGCAACGTTTCCTTTAATGCATCGTTGAAGGTGATTATCATTGTGTAAAAAATGTAATAGCTGAATATTATTTTTGTTTTTCAGTGCTTCATAATTTTGCTGCCTTTAATTTCTGTACTTTCATTGTTTTAAGAAGCTGGGCCAAATATCTGCATACTGCTATTCAGTATGCACCATAATATCTTTCCTGATTTCAGGAATTGTAAAAATGTGATTGCATGATTTAGTATATGCATTGTTGATCATATGCATTATTTTGTCACTTCAAAATAGCTGTTCTTTCCTTTGGCATTCACTTCCTTTTTTCTGTCTGCCCACTCATGTACCACATGTAGTCAGCAAATTTGACTTGCCATCAAAAGATTCTGGGTTCAAATCCTGGGCAGGTTGGGCAAGTTTCTTGCATCTATTTCTTCTGTTTACCTATCAGTAAGAAGGTACATAACATGGGTGTTAGTAGACTGTTGTGAATTGCATTCTGGCAAATGTTAAGATGTTTTACAGTTTAAGTGCTTTTCAAGTTACAATCTTACATTAATTTTTATATTTCCATGGCAATGTGTAATATGTGGCAATGTCTATGGACATATGTTAGCATTTGTTTAACACCTGAACTAGTTTCCTTTGATATATTTTCTGGCACTGATATGTATAAAAATGCTGATAAGGTTAAGTTTGGGAGTCTACATTGTTCAGTGATTGAAGTCAAATTAGTTTATGCCTCTTTATTTTAGTCATATTATATGCTTCTGACAGAATATTGTTTTTGTGTGTTTGGGCAGATCATTAATCCAGACAAGAACACACCTTTTTCTTATAATGAGATCTCTGTTGAATTTAGATAAGAAATATAGAAAACACTAATGAGATACAGTTTAGAGACACCAAATTTAATTTGTTAGGCTGTGATGCACCAGCTGCTGGTTTACCTAATCTGTATGTTTCTTTGTGCAGGGTCCATGTTATATTAACCCTTTCAGGGTTTTGGCCGTACTAGTATTGCTTACGTGCCAGGGTTTTTGCTGTATACTAGTACGCCTAAATTCTAGCGCCCTCAAATCTAGTGAGAGAAAGCTGGTAGGCCTACATATGAAAGAATGGGTCTATGTGGTCAGTGTGCGCAGTATAAAAAAATCCTGCAGCACACAGTGCGTAATGAGAAAAAAAACTTTGACCGTGTTTTTGGATTAAAACAGCGACTTTGCTCTGCATTTTCGTATGGTATTTATGGTTGTATTCTAGTTTTCTTGGTCTCATTTTATAGAATGGAAGATATATTACAGAAATTGAGATGATTTTTGACTGGTTTTACAATTAAAAGTACCTTGAAATTGAGCTCAAAGTAGCAGAAATGTTCGATTTTTACCCAAGTTCAAAAGTAAACAAATCATACCAGGCATCCAATACACGTCAACTGGTGAGTCTAATATTCTTTCACAAGTGCGCTGATATTATTTATACCATTTCTACACTAATGCAGTAGTCTGCATAACAGTAAATCTTCTATTTTTTGTAAGAATAAAAATTCAAAGTGGAAAGCCAAAGAAATATAAGAGGGACCTAGGGATGTGACTAACGAACAGAGAACTTGTTATTTTAGTGCCAGGAATGTCTTTCTTGTTTATTCTGGACCCTATTCGGAAATTGGCATCTGAAGTTTGCGTGAAATTGGCAAAATTGCTAAATTCTGACCACTTTATTGGATAGTTGAAATCGGTAAATGGGTGGTTTCTTGTACTCATTTGATAGAAAAAATGGAGTTCTAGCGAAATAGTTATGATTTTTGTCGACTAGTACACTGGAATTGGCCAAAAATAGAGCTCAGAGTGGGCAAAATGGCCGTTGCGTAAACATCGTCGAGACCGCTAACTTCTCGAGAGCATAATTCTGTAAGTTTCCCATCAAATTTCATACTTTTGGTGTCATGATCGGGAAAAGATTCTCTATCTTTTCATAAGAAAAAATAATTTTTTTTTTTTTTGAAATTTGGGCGACCCTGAGAACAATTCTCGGAGAGGGCCTGGCGACCCTGAAAGGGTTAAAGTTCATTTCTCAGAGTATAACACAGTATGTCTTTTTTACTTATTGCAGTACTGATATAAACTTTCAGAAAGAAAATGAGGCATGGGGGCTGCGAGATGTTGATGACCTGGAGAAAGAGGCAAAGAAGAATGGCATGACATTTGATGCCATGTTCAACATGCCTGCTAACAACAAGATCCTTGTGTGGCTAAAGAGCGAAGAAAAAGAACTGGCATAAAATGAAGAGAGGGAACAGTGTGGTTGTCCATTCATGCGATAAGTACATTGGTCACTTAACTGGTAGAAACTGTTACCAAGGGTCATGGGTACTTGACAGTGTAATTTTTTATCTTTGGAAGACTTGATTTCTAACATGACCATACAGCTGATGCTTAAGGTTTGTTTAGAGTAATATATGGTAAAATATGCTTATGTAGATTAATAGCTTTACTATTTATTATTTTGTCTTGATTTCTTAAATTGTATACAATTTCAAACAAACATAATGAATATACAATTAAGCATGTTTCTCCCACTGTTTTAACTTAATATGCACAGCTTTTTTTTTTTTTCCTTCAAAATTGCAGTATTCCATGAACAATATACCAAAGATTATTTTCTGCCTAAACCAGTGCACTAAGTACTTGTATAACCATTAAATGTTTGAGCTTGATGCACATTTTAAAAGTGAGGTAATGTAAGCATTTCACCAATATGCACAGAGGAATTTCAGGCTACTCATTTAAAAAGTTTACTGTACATCTAGTTAATCAGACACACAGACAGAGCAAGCCATTGTTAAACCAATTTATTGCCCTACAAGAACTTCAAGCAACCTGATAATGCTCTCACTAAGCAGAATGCTATTGTAATAAAGGTTTGCCGTCTACATGACTTTGATTTACTATGTGTCAGCTTACTGCCTATCTTTCAGACTGTATCTAGGCCAGTTGGGTATACCAGGTTAGTGTTGGACTTTACTCACAGTTGAACTGTGTTTCATTGATATTTATTTTTTCTAATACAGTATATATATGTATATGTAAAACAAGTGTTCATATTATAGTTTATATTTTTGCACTGGAATGTAGTTGTAAAATTTTAATGTTACATGGTGTGTAAGGATGCAGAATAGCTACAGTTTTCTAATTATTATTGAAGGTTGATCCTGGCATTCGTGCCTTAATGTTTAAATTGGTGCTTTTTTCAGGGGAGTTCATATATAGTACTGAAGCAGGATTGATAGAGCTTTTGTATTCAGAAGGTTTAAAGACTACAGTTTGACATGAGAAGGAAAGTGCTTGCTAATAATGAAAGTTTATGCTGGATATGCTTACTACCATTCTTGAATGTTTTTAATTGAAAAAAGAGCAGATATATACACACCATAATCATTTCTGTTGTAAGTTAAACTGCATTATTTCAAGTGTACTAACTGGTTAGTACATATTGTGTGCTGAACATCTATAATGATATGTAGCAGGTATAATGATATGTAGCAGCTATCTCATAGTATCCCTGATAATATGTAACTTAATTTTGCTAAATATATAGCACCAATTATACAGAACGTAATTTTTTTATTTGATTCCTGGTGATAAGCTGTAATAATTTAGTTAATTTGTTTTTTAACGTCAACCGTTTCCCACCAAGGAAGGGTGACCCAAAAAGAAAGAAAAAACTTTCATTATTCAACACTTTCACCATCACTCATACATAATCGCTGTCTTTGCAGAGGCGCTCAGATACGACAGTTTAGATATCCCTCCAAACTGCCAATATTCTAAACCACTCCTTTAACATGCAGGCATTGTACTTCCCATTTCCAGGACTCGAGTCCGGCTAACCGGTTTTCCTGAATCCCTTCCCAAAATATTACCCTGCTCACACTCCAACAGCTCGTCAGGTCCCAAAAACCATTCGTCTACATTCACTCCTGTCTAACACACTCACGTATGCTTGCTGGAAGTCCAAGCCCCTCACCTACACAACCTCCTAACCCCCTCCCTCCAACTTTTCAGGGATGACCTCTACCCTGCCTTCCTTCCCCAATAGATAAGCCGTTCTACTTTGTTCCATTCTCTCTAAATGACCAAACTGCCTGAAGAGCCCTCTGACTAATACTTTTAGTAACTCCACCCCTCCTAATTTCTACACTACGAATTCTCTGCATAATATTTACATCACACGTTGCCCTTAGACACATCTCCACTGCCTCCAGCAACTGCCTTGCTGCAGCATTTACAACCCATGATTCACACCCATATAGGAGTGTTGGTACCACTATACTCTCATACATTCCCTTCTTTGCCTCTGTAGATAATGTTTTTTTGTCTCCACAGATACCTCAACCTTTTTTTCTTCATCACTTCTGTGGTTTATTTCATCCTTCATAAACCCATCCATTGACAAGTCAACTCCCAGTATCTGAAAACATTCACTTCTATACTCCCTCCACTGTCATATCCAATTTTTCTTTATCTAAATTGTTTGATACCCTCATCACCTTACTCTTACCTGTATTCACTTTCAACCTTATACCTTTACACACCCTCCCAAACTCGTCTACTAACCTTTACAATTTTTCTTTAGAATCAAATCGAAACCAAGTTTGTTCTCTATAAAGATTACAATGCGGGGTTTACATATTATAGGATATTGTGTGGTTTACATACAGTATTATAAAATACTAATTACAGAGAGGGCCACTATCACACCTAGCGTGATTAGGCATTTCGGGCAGACTAAGATTAATTCAAAACTTTATATTGATACATATTATGGAGCATATTGGTATTAAGGCTAAGTAACTACATTACAGTTTGCAAATTTAGCAATGTGAATGGTTTTGTTTCAGTACAATACATAGTTTCTATTGAAGCTTCTATATTGGAGTATCACAGGCAAACTTATGACTAGTTGAGATTCATTAAGTAATTGTTGTATTACGTATTTCTATGTTTATAGTCAATTGGGCGAGTGTAAGTGCGAATTGTGAGGAATCAGATATCGAGGGGAGGTCTAGGTTGTTTTTTGTGTGTTTATGATACAAGAGAATAGGAGGTTTTCATGTAGTTAGCTGATGATGGGGTGTGTCAGGGAGATAAGATGTTTTCTAACGAAAGTTTTGAAAGTGATGAATGTGTCTGCAGTTCTAGAGTTTTCAGTTAGGGTGTTCCAGATTTTAGACCCTTTTATGTACATTGAATTTTTGTATAGGTTTAGTCGGACAGTATCATCAGCAAAAAGTAAAGGTGTCAACTCCCATTTTGTATTTGATTCCCCATAATTTAATCCCACCCCTCTCCCCAACACCCTAGCATTTAGTTCTTTTACAACCCCATCTATAAATATGTTAAACAACCATGGTGATATTACACATCCCTGTCTAAGACCTACTTTTACTGGGAAGTAATCTCCCTCTCTTCTACACACCCTAACCTGAGCCTCACTATCCTCATAAAACTTTTTACAGCATTTAATAACTTACTACCTATTCCATACATTTGGAACATCTGCCACATTGCTCCCCTATTCACTATATCATATGCCTTTTCAAAATCCATAAATGCAATGAAAACTTCTCTACCTTTATCTAAATACTGTTCACATATATGCTTCAATGTAAACACCTGATCTACACATCCCCTACCCATTTTAAAGCCTCATTGCTCATCTGCAATCCTGCTCTCTGTCTTACCTCTAATTCTTTCAATAATAACCCTACCATACACTTTACCTGGTATACTCGGTGAACTTATTCCCCTATAATTTTTACAATCTCTTTTGTCCCCCTTCCGTTTATATAAAGGAATTATACATGCTCTCTGCCAATCCCTAGGTACCTTCCCCTCTTTCATATAATAAACAAAAATACCAGTCACTCCAACACTGTATCTCCCCATGCTTTTAACATTCCTTTCATGATCCCATCAGTTCCAGACGCTTTACCCCCTTTCATTCTACATAATGCCTCACGCATCTTCCCCCACACTCACATTCTTCACTCCTAGAAGACGTTATACCTCCCTGGCCAGTGCATGAAATTACTGCCTCCCTTTCTTCATCGACATTTAAAAATTCTTCAAAATATTCCCGCTATCTACCCAATACCTCCAGCTCCCCATCTACTAACTCCCTTACTCTGTTTTTAACTGACAAATACATTTGTTCCCTAGGCTTTCTAAACTTGTAAAGTAAAAGGACACAAGTGCAACTAATGTGACATTTATTGTGGCAACGTTTCGCTCTCCAGGAGCTTTATCAAGCCATTACAAACAATACATGGACACAGAGGGTATATAAAGGCTCTGAGTGAGGTGCAATACTAGTGAGGTACCATTTCGATGTTCACTAGTGGTAGTAGTAGTAGTAGTAGTAACAAAAATAATACAATATGGAAGAGCAAATAATTCGTACATGAGTAAAAGGATATAAAAGCTATTACTTGGGTAACATAAAAAATAGGTTGGACAAATATAGACTGGAAAGAGGCAGGTTTTTTTCGGTGTTCACTCTCTGTAATGTGCTTGTGTAGTATAACAGGAGAGACTATGTGATGGCAGGGTTTACTGTTTTCAGGAGGATTCTTGCTAAGACTTCGGAGATGGTGAAGCTGCCGTTGTTTTGTTTAATTGTATTCGAAACAGCAATCAGTGTTGATTCAGGCAAGGCTCAACGCAGTTGAACCAGCGATTCAGTTTACACTAGAAGAAGCTACCTTTCCTCGACGTCCTCATTCACAAAGTAGACAACAACCTAAGATTTCAAGTTTATCGGAAACCCACCAATAAAAATGATCTCACACACTTCTATTCCAGTCAAGATACCAAGACCAAAAGAGGCATCATCATCGGGTTTTTCCTAAGAGCATACCGAATTTGTAGTCCTGAGTTTCTTGACGAGGAATGTACTTACATTCACCAAACATTCACTGAGTTACAATTTCCTTCTTTTTTCATCAAAGACTGCAAGAAAAGAGCTCTTCAGATCATCAATTCTCCACGCATCAACACTGCTCCCAACAAAGTTATAATTCTTCCCAACAGCCAGGTTGCACTAAACGTCTCAAAAGTACTTTCACAAGCTAACACCAGAGTCGCCATCGCTTCTACCACTTCAATAAAGGATCTAACCAGGACAAAACCCAAGCACCACGAACCAGTCAATGCAGGAGTTTACACTATACCCTGTGGAGGCTGTGACAAGATCTACGTAGGTGAAACAGCAAGAAACCTCGACACCCGCCTCAATGAACACATATACGCATGTAGGAATGACAACTTAAACAACGCCTGTGTACAACACCGAAATTCCACCAATCATCTTATGAAATTCAGAGACGCCCAATTAGTGATAAAAGAAACTAATTTCCGCACACGCAAGTGCCTTGAATCAGCACTGATCGCTGTTTCGAATACAATTAAACAAAACAACGGCAGCTTCACCATCTCCGAAGTCTTAGCAAGAATCCTCCTGAAAACAGTAAACCCTGCCATCACATAGTCTCTCCTGTTATACTACACAAGCACATTACAGAGAGTGAACACTGAAAAAAACCTGCCTCTTTCCAGTCTATATTTGTCCAACCTATTTTTTATGTTACCCAAGTAATAGCTTTTATATCCTTTTACTCATGTACGAATTATTTGCTCTTCCATATTGTATTATTTTTGTTACTACTACTACTACTACTACCACTAGTGAACATCGAAATGGTACCTCACTAGTATTGCACCTCACTCAGAGCCTTTATATACCCTCTGTGTCCATGTATTGTTTGTAATGGCTTGATAAAGCTCCTGGAGAGCGAAACGTTGCCACAATAAATGTCACATTAGTTGCACTTGTGTCCTTTTACTTTACATATTGTCGGTAATTCTACCAACTTTATTACTTTCTAAACTTGTTTATCTCACTCCAAAATGTTTTCTTATTCTCAGCAAAATTTCTTGACAGTGCCTATCCCACTCTCTCATTTGCTCTTTTTGCACACTCGCCACTCTCTTCACCTTTCTTTTACTCTCCATATACTCTGCAGTTCTTATATTGCACCCTTTACTGTATCATTCTACCAATCACTCCTCTTTCCTCCTGCACCCACCCTCCTACAGCCACAAACTTCTGCCCCACATTCTAATACTGCATTTTTAAAACTATCCCATCCCTCTTTAACCCCCTCCCCCACTACCCATACTTGCACCAGCCCACCTTTCTGCCAAAAGTTGCTTATATCTCACTTTAACTTCCTCCTTCCTTAGTTTATAAACTTTCACCTCTCACTTACTGTTGCCATTTTTCCTTTGTCCCATCTGCCTCTTACTCTAACTGTAGCTACAACTAGATAATGATCCGATATATCCATTGCTCCTCTATAAACATGTACATCCTGAAGCCTGCCCATCAACCTTTTCTCCACCAATACATAATCTAACAAACTACTTTCATTACGTGCTATATCATATCTTGCAGACTTGTTTATCCTTCTCTTCATAAAATATGTATGGTGTGACATACGTCAAATAAATTGTAACGAATCTTCGCATGCCACAAAAATGTAAATGAGCTGTT